GGATTGAGCTCACAACCCTGAGTTTAGCAGGCCAATGCTCAAACCACTGAGCTATCCTCCCACTCGTCCAGGTCTGTACTCCTGTTTCTAATATTGGATTAGAACCCGCAGTCTGTGTGAGGGCAGGGGTGGCTCAGGGTGAGGGAGGGGTAGCTAGGGGCTGTGTGAGGGCAAGGTTGGCTCAGGGTGAGGGAGGGGTAGCTAGGGGCTGTGTGAGGGCGGGGGTGGCGCCGGGGGGGGGGGGGGGGGGTGTTTGCCTCAAAGTCTGTACAAAGGGGGCCATGTGAGGTGTCAAACGAAAGCTTGTGTCATACTGACTCTGTGTGTGCCACTCATGTATGTGTGTGAGTCTGTGTGAGGTGTTATGAATAGGGGCTCTGTGCTGGTGTGGTGTGCTCTCTGTCTGAGACAGAGCAATGGGCATGGACTGCCTGTTGTGAGGAAGGCTTGTTCAGTGCCTGGCGGTGCTCTCTAGCCCTGCTGCATGGACACTGGCTCTGGGTGGCCAATACACACCTGAGGGATGCGTCTGGCAGCCTGCAGATTGGCCAGTGCCTCATGGCAAGTTGCATGCGAAACAGAGATAGGTCACGTGACCATGTGACCAGCTTGAGTTAGGGACACACCAGGAATATAAAAATCCCATGAGGCCGTCTCCATCTGGTCTTCAATCTTGCTCCTGACCCCAGATGCAGCCTTGCGAGGGACAGCGAGCGGGAAGGAGGCCGACCCGGCCTAATGCAGGTGGACACCAGAGACTTTTAAGCTAGCCGTGTGTAACATCTCTGCTAAGAGCCTGCATTGAGAACTTGGGGATCGTATTCACCTTAACAACCTCACTCTCCTCCTTTTCTTTCTTTTATGAATACACCTTTAGATGGTAGATTCTAAAGGATCGGCCCAGCGTGCTCTTGTGGGTAAGATCCAGAGTGTAAATTGGCTGGGGTTGGGGCTGATTCTTTGGGGCCAGGGGGATGTATTCGGGGTAGGTGAGATCGGGTTCTATAACCCCTCACCTGTGTTAGGCTCAGGGCTGATTGTGGCACAGGGAGAGCTGGGGTTTCGGAGGGGTTTTGCTTGTGAGGCTTCCTGCTGGCCGGAATGGCAGCTGGAGCGCTCCGTGTGACTGGTGTGTGGCTTGTTGGGAAAGGGCTCCAGTCGGGGCTGCAAGGAGCCCTGGTTTTGAGCATTCACCTGAGCAGACACCCTCAGCAGTGCCCAGCCCCAGCCTGTCCGCCCAGCCTTTGGAAATGTGCCGTAGCATCTGGGCTCCTGGTCCCACGTGGGGACCCCTCATAAAGCTCTAACCATTTAAAAGGGACTGCGCTAGCCTGCCCGCCCGGTGGCGGCACTCCCCATGGGTCGCCCCACACTGGCCCAGCCCTGCACTCCTCCACCCCACGCTTGCTGGGCTCAGCCCTAGGCCCTAGCCCCACCCTAACCCCCATCTGAGCCGTCAGACCCAGCACAGGGCAGCTGCCTGGAGAGCTGTGCAGGGGGGCACTGACCCACAGCTCCATGGAAGCCACCACCAGCTTCCCTGTTTCCACTGGGCTCCTCCCCTTCCCGGGGAGCCTCTGCACCAGACCTGGGGCCCGACAGTGATGCGGCAGTGACATCACAGGGGCCTTCTGACGCAGGCTGGGGACAGTGACCTCACAGAGCCCATGGCAAGGGCCAGGTGGCCAGGCTCAGTCCCCCAGCGCTTTGCCCCAGGCCCTGGGGGAGGGGCAGAGCCCCGGGGGTCCGGCACAGCCCGAGTCCAGACCCTGGAAGCGCTGGGGCTCTGCCGGGCCCGGTGAGACTGCCCCGGCTGCATGGGCACCGCTGCGGGGCGGGGCGGGGCGGGCCGGAG